AACACAGCTGAGAACCACCTGGCTCTAGGGATCATTCTGCTGCTTTTATGCCTTTCGCTGTAGAAGGCAGCAAACATGGAATGATCATTTCCTATGTTCTCAGATGCTTGGTTTTAGGTACCCATGAAACAAAGACCTTGTTATCCTGTAACTCAGATTTTAATGGAGACACAGAGACAACACAGATAAGACTGGGGGCAAGCTGTGGAGAAAAACAGACCACATCAGGAGGACTAACGAGTCAAGGAGAGGGGCACACATCACACCTAGTGATCGGATGACATTTCAATAAAAATAGCCATGCATTTCAACTTAATTCCCATCAAAATACCACCAGGTATCTACCCAAAGCTTACATCCATACAAAAACTTGCACGCGTTTGCAGTATCTTTCTTCCTGATTGTCAGAGGCTGGGAGTAACAAAAATACCCTTGAAAAGGAAAACGGATAAGCCAGCGGTGCTGTCCTCACACACTAGTGTTGCTCAGTAATCGTAAACAAAGAGCTATCAGGCCACAAAAAGACATGGAGGCGTCTTAAGTGTATATCACTGAGTCAAAGAAGCCAGTCTGAAAAGGCTACATGCTATATGATTCCAACTATAGGACATTCCAGAAAGACCAAATTACAGGGGAGGGAAGGTGAGGGAGAGCACAGCGGATTTTTACGACACTGAAACTACTGTGTGTGGCATCATAGCGGTGGGTGCAGCACGTCACGCATTTGGCAAAATCTGCAGAGGGTCTGTCACCAGGAGTGAGCCCGCACGTCAACTACAGACGACGATTATAATGCACCATTATTGACTCTTCAGTTGTAAAAAACATGACAAACCGAAGCAAGACATCAATAACAGTGGAGAATGACGGGAAGCAAGTCAACAGACTTGCTCGAGTTTTCTGTAAAACTAAAACTGCTCTAAAAAAAATGAGGTCCATTAATTTTTTTAAAAAGACTGCTGGACATGATGGCTCAGGCCTGTAATCCCACGAACTGGGAGGACATAATTGCAAAACACGTATTTAATAAAGAAACTGGCATCAAGGCCGGGCGTGATGGCCCACACCTATAATCCCAGCACTTTGGGAGGCTGAGGCGGGCAGATCACTTGAGGTCAGGAGTTCGAGACCAGCCTGGCCAACATGGTGAAACCCCATCTCTACTGAAAATACAAATATTAGCCAGGCGTGGTAGCATGTGCCTCTAATCCCAGCTACTCGGGAGGCTGAGGCAGGAGAATTCCTTGAACCCAGGAGGCAGAGACTACAGTGAGCCAAGACTGCGCCACTGCACTCCGGCCTCAGTAACAGAGGGAGACTCTATCTCCAAAAAGTATAATAATAATAAAAAGACTGATGTATAACTATACGCTGACTTACCAAAAGAAGACAGCATTTTTAAAAAGTCGCTTAAAAAGAAAATGTCATAAAATGAAAGGCAAGGAGACCAATCTCGGCTGAGGACAACCGAAAAGGCATGAGGGACAGACGTAACGCATGAGCCTTAATTAGATTCTGGGTCCACAACAAAATCAACAGGTACAAAAATGCCGGCTAATGCACATTTTGCAAACACTTGGAAAATACAAATACGGACTCTACAGTAAATGACATAGAACTGGTGTTCCTTTCTTGAGCAATTTGACGGTACTCTGGTGACACAGAAAACCATCCTCAATCTTAGTGTCAGGATGTCTGCATCTTTCAAATGGTTCGGGGGGGAAGCGTCTAACTGTCAACAGGGGAACAGTATAAAGGCATTCATCCTACTGGTCCTTCCATCCTCTGAGGGTCAGTAACTGTAAAAGTTGGGTCTTTGAAAAGACTGATAAAAAGCACATAAACTCCTCATAAGAATAATCAACAAGAAAAGAGAGAAAGCATATATGCCCAGCACTAAGAGCAAAGGAAGGCACCTCACTCAGATACCCCTGACACCGGTGAGTTTCTAAAGGGGTATTGTAAGCCAGTTTACGTCAACACGTTGGAAAGCTTAGTTGAAATGGACAAGGTCCTACCTACAAAAGTAAGTTAGCAAAGCTAACAGAAAAACTGAACAGCTCTTTAACCATGAAAGAAACTAGATCAGTAGTCAAAAATCTCTCCACCAACAAAACATCGCCCCACAGAGCTTTCTTTGTAAGTTCCACAACATTCAGACAACAAATACTTCAAATATCACAAAAATTATTCAAGTCTACACACAAAGAAGGAACATTCCTCAACTTCTTTTCTAAGGCCTCAATTATTGATTACGTCCACTAGGCAAAGACAGCGAGAAAGAGAAGAATCCCTGGCCAATCTCGCTCACGAACACAGATTTAACATATGGAACCAAATGGCTGCAAACTGAGTTAAGCCCTGCATGAAATGGATTATTCTTGACACAGGTCACCCCAAAAAGAAACGTGTGCATAACAGGAGACGGTCATTCAGTATCACTCCATGTAGCACCAGCCTAAGGGGGAGGAGGCCTATGACCACCTTAACACACACACGAATAACCTCGGGAGACAAACCAACATCTAGTCACTATTTTTTTTGAAAAACCAAATTAAGAATTGAACTTTCTTAACTGGATAATGCTGATTGTTTTTGTTTTACAAAAAGCCTGGTGCAAATGTCCCACATGGAACCCGGAACCCGGAGCTCTCCCTCTGGAAGGAAAAAGGAAACAAAGGGGGCCCCACCCTCCTCCAGTCCTCCCTCACTCCACCGGAGGTGTCGGCAGAACAGGGACAAAGACACAATAAAAACACAGCTGGGAGCCAGGCGCCGCGGCCCACACTGTAACCCCCGCACTTTGGGAGGCTGAGGCGGGAGGACTGCTTGGACTCAGGAGTTTAAGACCAGCCTGGGCAACCTGGTGAGACCCTGACTCTACAAAAAATACAAAAATTAGCCAGGTGTGGTGGTGTGCACCTACAGTCCCAGCTACTTGGGAGGCTGAGGTAGGAGGAACGCTTCAGCTCAGGAGGCAGAGTTTGCAGTGAGCCATGATCATGCCACTGTTCTCCTGCCTGGGTGACAGGATTTCAAAAAAACAAAAAGAGAGAGAGACCTTGTTTAAAAAAAAAAAAAAAAAAAAAAAAAGGTTGTGTTCTGTAAGTGACCAGGAGCGTAAGAGGAAACCTGCTCCCTGTGGAGCAGGGAGCCGGCAGGCGGGTGCGGGCTGCTGGACCTTAATGGTTATTGGAGAAAATCACAGCACAGCACAGTCTATCATTCAAAACAAAACAAAACCAAACCTGTGACAACACCCAGCGCTGGAGAGAAAGGTGGGCAGCTGAAACACTCGTGCGGTTTAGAGCAGAGACAAGATGGGAACCAGCCCGATGCCCATCTCTGGCGAAGGCACTGAGAAGGGCTGGGTCTTGGCAGGGGACGGCAAATGAGGGAAGGGGCACAGCTGCAGTTTCCTGGGATCGGGCAGGAATCTGCCGAGCCTCCCACTGAGTGAGCAAAGCGCACTACGGAAGAGCGCACCAGTGTCCGCCCAGCGCATCAGCAGCTGTGCACGGAGGCTCTCAACTATGCCCGTGAGCCAGCAGCCTGGGGGCTCTGCAGAGGACAGCCAGGGAAGGACAAACGCAAACTCACTATGCCAGGCGCCGCAGGGGAGGGCAGGGAAAGGAGAGACTGAGACTGGGGAAGACACGCCAGGGGCCTGCAGTGCACACCTGGCGGTTCATTATATCACGCTTCTGTAAATTCTACTTCCTTGATAATGATCACTTTGAATTTATCCGACATTTAACAGAGGAATCAAAATCAAGCTGGTATTCAGGTACACACAGAGGTGAGATGGCACTGCCCTGTGGGAGGAGCTGTGTGAACGCCTTCCTAACTCCCAAGGCTGGCTCCTGCTCCGCGTCTAGGGTCTAAACCAGCCCGGACGCCTTTCTAACTCCCGAGGCTGGCTCCTGCTCCACGTCTAGGGTCTAAACCAGCCCGGACGCCTTCCTAACTCCCGAGGCTGGCTCCTGCTCCACGTCTAGGGTCTAAAGCGGCCCGGACGCCTTTCTAACTCCTGAGGCTGGCTCCTGCTCCACGTCTAGGGTCTAAACCAGCCCGGACGCCTTTCTAACTCCCGAGGCTGGCTCCTGCGCCGCGTCTAGGGTCTGAAGCAGTCCTCGAGGTCTCTGCCTGCCCTGGGCCCACAGCGCATCACCACCTGTGCCGAATGCTGGCTGAGAACACGGGACAGTGGACGGGAACTGAGAGTTCACTCAGCGTGTGAAGAAACGGAGTCAGCTGGTCCTCACTGTGAAGCCGGGAGGCGGCGTCAACACCGAGGAAGCAAAGGCCCAGGAGACTGACCGCACAACCGGATCTCAGGTTTGCTGGATTCCACATCGGTGCCCTTATAGACACGCTCAAGCACACGTGGGGCCTCCGCACCCTCCAGGGACCGCTTTCACGTATCACACCGAGCATGGTGACACCCGCGGCCAGCTGCTCGAGATGGACCGAAGTTCCCACCCGGGAGGACGAGGACCACAGTCAGCACTCACCTCCCACACAAGCAGCTGCGGGAGAGGGGCGAGCACCTCATCTGTTGCCGGCAAGTCTGACCTGGGGCAGGGAAACCCGGAAGCTGCATCTGCAGGGCAGCTTAGAATTAGCCCTTTAGAACATTTAAAACATTTTCTTTTCTAAGAAAATCACTGATGCCTCATGCAGTTTTTCAAACTACAAGGCAGAGATGCTCTTGAGGTCTATCCTCGGAGAATTACACACAACTGCAGTTCTCACAGCAGCAAAGATAAACCACACGTGCCCTGCTTCCAGACGGTCACTGCATGAACACGTTCTGCCACAGACACGACGCCCTCCTTGTGCCTGGTGCCCTGGGCCGTTCAGTGACTGCATTTTGGGTTTGCTTAGGCACAGTAACATCCACGGCTTCACAGAAGCTACGGATGGACAGGACCTGCTGCGCACCACGAACGCTGCACGGCTCCTGTAGGAGCGGAGAGAAAGCTGGCGGGCACACCCACCTTGTTGAAGACCCAGACTTCCCCGTTCACTGTGGGCCTGGGCACCCCGTGGCCGTTGTAGTGAAAGAGGACTCGCTCTTCCTTGGCGTTGCGGCGTAGGGACGTGCAGAGCTTCTTGACTTCGTCCACAGTTGGGTCAAGGCTCTGCTTGTACCGGGCCTGTTGCAGGAGAAGAAATGAAGAAATTTACCACGGACTCAAGGGAAAGCCTGGAACTCATCCCTACTCTTTCCTCTGAGTCTGCAGTTAATACCTGTGTGGTCCTGAACACATGGCTCAGAGTTTCTCCAGCTATAAAACTGGATAATGCCAGGCACCACGGCTCATGCCTAAAATCCCAGCATTTTAGGAGGCCAAGGTGGGAGGATCAGTTGAGCCCAGGAGCTCAAGATCAGCCTGGGCAACAGAGTGAGACCACATCTCTGCAATTAAAAAAAAAAATTAGCTAGGTGTGGTGGCACACGCCTGTAGTCCCAGCTGAAGTGGAAGGATCGCTTGAGCCCAGGAGGTTGAGGTTGCAGTGAGCTGTGATCGCATCACTGTACTCCAGCCTGGGTGACAGAATGAGACGGTCTCAAAAAAACAAAACAAAACGCCAGCTAAGAACTACCACACATGATGGTTATACATATTCATTCAACAAATATTTATTGAGAACGGCTAGGAACATCAATGAGATAAGTAATGCCTGTCACGTGGCAACACCAAGTCCAACACAGCTGCCACTGGGGTGCCGAGTGTTTCTCGGAAGCACGGGGTCCTTCCGAAAACATCTGCAGCACAGAAGAGAGAATTTGCTCCAAAGAAGGAACCTGCAATGTACACCCGGCAGCAGTGGTGAAGGGTGGAAGGACCGCGTAAGGAATTGCCCTGCTCAAAGCTCCTCCCTCCCCTCCTGCTGGGGACCTTCTGGATGCCTGTAACAATTCCCTGAATTAGCAGAACCTAAAACGGACACAGAACAATCAATAGCCTTGATATACACAGATCATAAACGGAGGACATAGGCCAGGCGCGGTGGCTCAAGCCTGTAATCCCAGCACTTTGGGAGGCCGAGGCGGGTGGATCACCAGGTCAAGAGATCGAGACCATCCTGGTCAACATGGTGAAACCCTGTCTCTACTAAAAATACAAAAAATTAGCTGGGCATGGTGGCGCGTGCCTGTAATCCCAGCTACTCAGGAGGCTGAGGCAGGAGAATTGCCTGAACCCAGGAGGCGGAGGTTGCGGTGAGCCGAGATCGCGCCATTGCACTCCAGCCTGGGTAACATGAGCGAAACTCCGTCTCTCCAAAAAAAAAAAAAAAAAAAAAAAAAAACGGAGGACATCATGGCAAAGAGATCCATGCAGAAAGCTACGGAGCAGACAATGCACAGAAATAAGCTCAACATGAAATGTGCAAAACACAACATGGAAGTTTTTCAAAGCCCTCCTAGAAAACACAAGCAGACCCGAACCAATGGAAAGATGCTCCCTGCTTGGGTAGGCTGCGTCAACATTCTTAAGATGTCAGCTCTCGCCAGCTTAATTCACAGATTCAATGCATTGCCAATAAATACCCCAACAAGCTATTTTATGGAGTTTAACAAGCTGCTACTGAAGGTCACAAGGAAAAACAAACAGGCACGGAGGGCCAGGAAAGCATGGCAGCAGAGAGCCCTCACGTGGCTGGCCTTGCCAGACACTGCAGGCTCCTCGAGGGCCACTCATCAGACGGCGAGGCTGGGGGCGTGGAGACCAGCAGCCCAGGGAACTCAGGCCTGGTCCAGAATCAGACCCACGCACACGTGACTTGGCTTTCTTGAGAACAGTGTTTATACAGCCGTGATGCTATGAATGCTGATTTTATTTTAATAAAAACTGTGCCAACTTCCAGAGAACCCAAGTGAGGAGGGCCGGCCAGGGAGGAGACAGGCCTGGCTGGGTGGCAGGATGCTGGAAAATGGGCACAGGCGGGTGTCACGAGGAGCTGCTCTGGTTCCCAGTCATCGCTCTTTGGCTGCGAAGTACTTTTCATGGTGAACTCCCAACAAAGAAGAACTGACCAGAGTAAAATCCACGACCTTCCGGGGTGGGGAGGGGAACAGCGGGTGTAAAAGTGCTGGGGCCACACCAGGCAGTCAGGAAAGACCCCCCCAGTGGAGGAATCACTGCAGAGCTGCACCAACATATGCCACGAGAACAAACAGCTAACAGGGTGTGCCTCTGGGTGCGGGCGAGGCTTTTAAAAAGGAATGTGTATGTTCATCACTTTAATAAACTTTTAGAACTTTTTTAAGAATAACTAAAGTAAGGCCAATGCTATGATCATCACTTGAGGAAAAATGCTGGTAAGTGTTCAGAGCATGCTGAGGAGGCTGGGTTTGAAGGGAGACCTGGACTCCCGCTGTGCCCGGTTTGGGCACACAGATGTGCAGGAAGCTCCTGCTAATGTGACCGAGAAGGGAAACAGAGAGGACACGCCCTGAGGAGGGCACACCGCTTGTGCTTCAGAAAGGTTCCCCTGCCAGGTGTGGTGACTCACACCTGGAACTGCAGCATTTCAGAGGCCAAGTTGGGAGGATCAAGACCAGCCTGGGAAACATAGCGAGACCCCCATCTCTACAAAAAATAGATAAAGACAGGTTCCCTGGCATTTCCGGAGAAAATGAGTCCAATGTGAGGAAAACAACAGGAAAACGAGGCCCATTTCCCGCAGCATTAGCCCCTCTGTTGTACACGACACACATTTGGTCTCACCTAAATATCTACATTAAAACTCTAGTTTATGACAACAGAAAACCCTTGGTATTCTGTACCTTGTACTTTGGAAGTCATCAGTAGATGCATGAGACTTAAAAACAGTTTTTCCAGGTTCCCCCAATTTTGTGTACCTGCAAGCAAAGCCCGTAGAGAACCACCAGCGAATCCAAGGCTAGTAACCCTGTGCCACGGCAGGATGGTGCGGAGCCCTGGTCCCAGGCGGGCTAGGGCAGCAGAGTGGTCACCCCTCTCAGCGTCTCCTCCCTCAGGAACAGAATGCTGCTCCAAAAACTGTCACCAAGGAGACCCGAGAGAGAGCTAACAAATTGATAACACGGGATTTTCAAGTCCATTTTCATCAATGAGGGGTGTGCGCTGACACCCACAGAGGCTCTGCCAGAACAGGGCTGGCCCCCAGGGAGCCCGGGTCCACGAGGAAGAAGGAAGTGCTCAGAGAAGCATGGAGCACGACAGGAGGGGTGTGGATGCGTGGGCTGGCAGGCCGTGTGTCATCTGCTCCCGTAGGTGGGCAACACTGGCCCGCGGGGGACCCCAGCCATGTGGGGGCCAATCTGACCCACACGTCCTGGGAGAGCCTGTTCAATGCCCAGCTCTCCTACAAAATTCCTTCCTGAATCCCTTCAGTAGGAAATCATTTCTTCTTTCTCTGAATTAACTTATACTGCTCACTGTACAGTTATGTGTGGCTATCTCAATTCTATGCAGACGGTAAATTCTGTGACGGTACGCACTGCTTACCCACGTGTGCCCAGCTGTACAAGGCGCTCTTTTATGTCCTTTCCCCAGCCTCACAACATACTCAAGTTACCAGAAACTAACTGCTGAACGATAATCAGATTTTTGCTGACATTAAATGCAATAATTAGTAACGACATCAATTTGCAGTAAAGAGACCAACCGAATCCTGCCTGAGGTTGAAGGGGCATAAGTAACTGTCGACGTGGCCCCAGAAGGCGGCATCCAGGTGCTGGCTTCACAGGGCGTGCGAGTCGTCATTCTTTCTGCTTTGCTACCTGAGATTCTGCATGCTAAGACTTAACGGTGGAAACGTCCTGGATGCATCACTGATCAACTGTTTGTTTGTGTTCTTGGTGAGACAGAACCAGGCCGCTGAGTCTTGATGTTCTAAATACCTGAATTTTGGTTGATCCCATACAACAGGCCGAGGGCAGCTGATAAATGAAAGCGCAGTTCTAGGGGCATTTCAGAAGGAAACGCTTTATTCAGCTGTCACGACCTTGGCTGCATGCCCTCCAAAACCACATCCACAAGTAAGTGCATTCTAAATCAGAAAATAAGTCTGAAGTAGAAGTAGCTAGGCAGTCTGTCTTCCAACGGGCAGGTAGAAAGAATGGCGGACATGCAGGGCGGGGTCTGTCTGCAGAGACCGCTTCCATTCAGCGCGGCAGCAACAGCCCCGCCTCGCCCAGGTCTCCCCACACGCAACAAGAAAGCAGGGACTCCTGCGGAGGGCCTAGTTTACCTCCTCCTTCAAGCAGAGCGCCTCAGCCATAAGACCTGCATAAACATGGAATTTAGGTTTTTCTCTGAATCAGAGTTGTGATAATAGCCAATCTAAGCAGCAAGCCACATCCCATTTTGGTCTGGACCTTTATGTAAATTGAAACAAATATCTATGCATTTTTAATGTAAGTGCTTTTTAAAATGTGTCATGGATAGAAACAACTAGAAGTTTTCCAAGAAAGCCTTAGCACAGCTCCAGGCCCCAGGGCGGAAGCGGCCATCATGGAGACTCCTCCTGTGGTGCTGGGGAACTGGGAAGGAGGGGGGAACTGGGAAGGAGAGGGCACAGAGGGAGGAGGGCAGGGGGGGAGGAGGGCTGGGAGGGAGGAGGGCTGGGAGGGAGGAGGCCTGGGAGGGAGGCGGCCTGGGAGGGAGGAGGGCTGGGAGGGAGGCGGCCTGGGGGGGAGGAGGGCTGGGGGGGAGGAGGCCTGGGGGGGAGGAGGGCTGGGGGGGAGGAGGGCGTACACAGTTTCCTACCTCCAGAGACACTTTAAGGCAGCTCAAGTAGGGAAGAGCAAAACTGGAGAAGTAGGACTTAAAAAAGTGGCTTTTAATGGATGCTAAAGGAGTTCTGCATTTGCTGGGTATTTCCTTTGTGAGCACAAGAACTAAAGGCATTTTTATTTACTACCAACAAGAGCAATAACGGGGAAATCATACTGGCGAGAAACCCAGTGCAGTTGAGCTTGGTGGTTTTCAAGCTATCCCTCTGAGGCGGGCCCAGTGGGGGCGGGAGGAGGGTGCACCCGCAGTGCTGCTGGCTTAGCGGAGGTGGGGTGCACCCGCAGTGCTAGCTCCAGTGGTGGTCACCCTGTGTTCCCAAGATGGTGCGTGCTGAAGAAGCCTCAGCCTCTCCCGAACCAAAACACAAACGCATGAGTGTGACAGCGCCTCTCAGCTAAAATCAAATGCATCTTTTAGGTAGAAACGTCGGGGGCCTCCTTCCCACGTGCTCAGAGGGCGCTCTGGAGCCCAGAAGAGTCCTGCAGGGCGGGAGAGGGGAAGGAGGGAGGGAGTGCCCTTCCTTCCCCACCACAGTGACGGCTGGGAGCACCAAGAATGGGATGGAAGATTCCAGAGAACACAGCCACAGTGCTGGGTGAGGTAAGGGCCAGAGGCAACAGGGATCCCAATCCACCCCTCTCGAACCCTCTGCAGCTGTGACGACACTGATTTATCTCCAGTAACCTTCAACTCACTGGCAGTTTTATCTGACAATATGAAGAAAACAGCAAATCTTAAGTGCAAATGCTTATTCTCCCGCCCATGAGGACTCATTTCCTGCTGAGTGTGACACCAGTGGGAACAACAGCAATCACTGCCAACCCTCGTTGTCCATTCTGAGCACCGTTTCCATTTTCACCCAAACAGTCATAACTGCCATGTGCACGGCCCTTGAGAGAGCTTTCATGAGCATCCTCTCTCACACACAAGGCGGAATGGGTGTTCCCGGCTCATGCTGGCAGCCCCGCCAGGGAAGTGAGCCATCTGAGCTCCCGTTAATCAGGAAGCGGACTTCCAACCCTTTCTCCAAGGCCCAGGGTGGGGCGGGGGGTGGGGGGTGTGTGAACGGTTGCCCCTTTCCATGCATATTAAAACCACTTACCCTTAATGAACACAGGGATGTTTTTCAGAGTCAGAAAGACTTCTGAAGTCATGGGCTGCAGATACAGACAAAGAAAGAACATGTGCAGGGCTTGCCAGACAGCAAAGCAATCAGAAGGAAGGAGAAAGGGGGGGCTGTAAACTAAACTTGAGGTGCCAGGGAGTCTCCTAATGCCACATAGCCACCCTGCTTTCTTGTTGCTAAGGCTACAGAAATCCCCCGTGCAAAGTGGTGAAGAAAAAAGGCACTGAAAGATAAGGCACCCCAAAATAAGAACGAGCCACAGTGCTGATCTCCGCACCTGCCTCCCCGGAGCTCGGGCCCATCGATCTGCAGGGGCTGGGCTCACCGGAGGGCCCACAAATCACTGGGAGATTTCCTCGTGAAATGTCAAGTGCCTCCTGCCCCCCCGTCTCCGTCGCACTCATTACTTTCCCGCTGTAGCAGTTTTTCTCAATTCTACTCTCCTCAACACAGCTATCGAACTGGGATTGGTGAAGCCACAGCTCCACAGGAAAATCACTCGCTGTCTCCTGAGGCTGCTCCTCAACGGGAGCGCTGTTCTTCCATGCCACACAGAAGGCCATGGGGCAGAGATGATGCAGAGACGTCAATAAAATTAAGCATTCGTTATTTCTGACCTTGGCTCTGTGGAGGTCTTATCCTGTGGGGCTTTAGCTTCATTTTCTTACCTATTGCAGAGAAGATGCATTAATGGACCAGCATGAAGGGCGCCACAGATATTAATAATATGCCTCCTGGGGCTTCATGGGAATTAATTAATATTTTTAAGAGCTTTGAAATGAGAAACACTAAATTAAATGTCACCATGTCGTGTTCAGGTTTTGTCTCACAACTAGAATGCCAGGGATAATGGCTGTGTGGTTTGAGAGGCAGGAGTGGCAAGGGAGCCTCTGATCATCCGGGGGAGTTACGACAATTTCTGTTGGGCATATAAAATGCCAAAGCAAGTCTCGAAAATACAGCCCATTGTGCTAGGCATTTTTCCTGAAATGCCAAATCCCAAGGTGCGAGAAAATATATGCACGGGAATTCTGGAGGATGCAACAGCAGAAGAGAATAAAAGAATGAATCTGAGGCAGGAGAATTGCCTGAACCCAGGAGGCGGAGGTTGCGGTGAGCCGAGATCGTGCCATTGCACTCCAGCCTGGGTAACATGAGTGAAACTCCATCTCAAAAAAAAAAAAAAGAATGAATCACTGAAGAAAAGAAAAAACATATATATGGGCCCTTGGCTTAATGAAGGAAAATGCAGCTCCAAGTTTCATTTCCTTCTAGTGATGGGCTCTTGTCCTAAAATGACACCTGGTAACTATATGCTAATGAGGCCTAAGCAAAGCTACGGCAATCCGATTCTGATTTTCCACACAGGACTTCATTGCTGTTGGAGCTCCTTCTCATGCAAGTGCAGACTTCAGGCCCGGAGAGCCCTGAGCGTGGGAGGTACTCTGCTCCCAGTGGCCCTCGTGGCCGTGTGGTCCCGCCAGAAGCTCTGGTGAAGCTGCACAAACTGCTGCTGCTGTGGATCAAGGACAGCCACGCTGCCTGGGACAAGGGGGAGCTTGGGGCGCTACGTGGTAGGTCTTCTCTTTTGACAAAATCCCACAAGGGGAAGAAGCCCTGTGCTGCTGGGATGGGCGGGCCACAGATATCTGCAGAGTTTCTAACATAGGCACTGGCATCGTACTAGGCTGGAGCTGTGCGTACAAATGCTGTTGCTGGGCCGGGCGCGGTGGCTCAAGCCTGTAATCCCAGCACTTTGGGAGGCCGAGGCGGGTGGATCACGAGGTCAAGAGATCAACACCATCCTGGTCAACATGGTGAAACCCCGTCTCTACTAAAAATACAAAAAATTAGCTAGGCATGGTGGTGCGTGCCTGTAATCCCAGCTACTCAGGAGGCTGAGGCAGGAGAATTGCCTGAACCCAGGAGACGGAGGTTGCGGTGAGCCGAGATCGCGCCATTTCACTCCAGCCTGGGTAACAAGAGTGAAACTCTGTCTCAAAAAAAAAAAAAGCAAAAACAAAACAAAACAAAAAAACAAATGCTGTCACTGCCATCCTCCTGTCCTACAGCAATGAATAACAGGTCAAGTTTATATCCAACACACTGAGATGCCTGCAACACTCTCAGAACTGTCCTGGAGGAGCAAACGGCATCCCAGGACTCAGGCCAGTTCTGCCCCCGCTCTGGGAGTCTGGTGAGAGTTTCCCCCTACCCCTCACCTTCCCAAGCAGGATACGAAGATTTCCAGGGAAATGTTGAGACCCTCATGCCAGACCCTCTTCCCTGCCCGGCATTTCCCCGGAAGGCCTCACCTCCTACAGCCCTTGTTTACGCTCACCTCTAAGGGTGTTAGGGTGAAAAACAAGATACAGAAAAACAAAACAAAAGCCAAAAAGAGCGAAGCAAACGCTACCTTTCCATTCACAGGGAATGAGCAGCATGGTCTCCACAGGAATAAAAGCTAAGAATATATAACCTGTGCCCTTTCCCATGGTTCCACCGCAGTACAGCCAGACGGAGCCACTGAAGACCGAGACCTCACGGCATTTGTTCCCAGATGCGAAGCAATCCAACGGTGTGTCTGAGGCCCTTCACCAGAGAGGAGGGTCCGGCACACACCTTCCGTGTCTTCCCTCCTAAGCTTGCTCCCCTCTATCCATATGGGTGGGGTCACTAACCATCTGGCCAATAGAAACCCATCCTTGACACTTGCTTGTCTTTCACCCTTTCCATCATTTTTATGTCATCAATCATTTCCTTCTGGTGAGTCTACCTCTTCAATCCTGACTGAATCCATCTACCTCATTCTATTCCCCTATCCCCACTATCAATACGCAGGCCAAGCCACTACCAAACCACCATCCTCACCACCACCACCATCATCTCTACCATCATCACCACCATGATGACCATCATCACCACCACCATCACCACCACCACCATCACCATCATCACTACCACCATCATGACCACCATCATCACCATCACCACCATCACCACCACCACCATCACCATCATCACTACCACCATCATGACCACCATCACCACCATCACCACCACCACCATCACCATCATCACTACCACCATCATGACCACCATCACCACCATCACCACCATCACCAGCATCACCACCATCACCATCACCATCACCGCCATCACCACCACTACGATCACCATCATCTCTACCATCACCACCACCACCAGCATCACCACCATCACCATCATCACTACCACCATCACCACCAGCACGATCACCACCATCTCTACCATCACCACCACCACCACCATCACCGTCATTGCCATCACCACCATCATCACCGCCATCATCACTACTGTATTGCTTAGATTATTGCAGTAACTTCCCAACTAACCCTCCAGCCTTGTTTTGCTGCAAATCCATTCTCCAAAACTCAGTAGGTCCTTCTCCCACTGAGAAGCCTTTGATGGCTTCCCACTGGCTTTGAAAACTCTTTAGAAAGACCTGCAAGTCCCTGCAAGTTCTCCAGCCTGGTCTCTAGGCACAATCTCTGAGAGTCTATACTTCAGCCACAAGAAAGGATCCTTTGAGTCTTTTGCCTCATTATGTTCTAACCCACCTTCCAACCTTCTGCCCAGAACCTTCTTCTTGCCTTTTCTCCATGTCCAATTCCAAGTCTTGCCTGGTCATTTTCTATTCATCCTTCAAGTATCATGTTAAATGTCCCTTGTCTTTTATGTTGCAAGGATGCTCCTCCAGACACCGGACAGGAAGCCATGGCAAAGGCTGCACAGCACCTCTAGCTAGCTCCCCATCAGTGCACCGGGGTACTGGACTCCCCCTGCTGGTTTACTCATCAGCCTTCACAACTGACATTCAATAAATATTTGTGCATGTACAAATGATGAATAAACACTTCCTATTAGAGTTTACATAGCCTGGGGAGCTTCTCCATAGAGAGCTGTTTTATCAAGAGTTTGGGGTCTCTATTTTCATTTTGAGAGCATTTTAAAAAAAAAACCCGTTTTGATGGCTTGGAGTACAGCAGTGAAGCAAGGCCTTTGCTGCAACACCACTTTCCTTAGCAGACAGTCTACTGCCCCGACAAAGGGATCTGCTGCTCCATACACATAAGCTTGAGGCAGATGCTGCAGGAATCACAGGCGCCTGAACATCCAGGAAGCACCCAGGGCGGCCTAGCAATCAGACACAAGCTGACGCTTCCTGGCCAGCAGGCTCGCCTGGGTTCCCACAGGAACAGGATGGGTGCTACCACCTGAAGAGCCGCACCGCTGCTCACTTGAGGGCCAGGAGAGCCTTCCGTGAGCAAGACAGAAGGAAAAGGACTGACTTGGTGACTGGCAGAAGAGACTTGTCTTTCAAGGATGACAGCTGCATGAACAGCAATAAAAGACATTTCCTTTGTTCCAGACAAGACTGTGGAGAAGCAGGGGCACATCCAGCAGGGCCCTGGACACCATCTGTAAGACGTTTCCAATGTAAAGATGAAGAAGAAAAGAAAAAATAGGGAGGATGCTAAATGGTGATGGCACATTTGGCAGGACCCTGGAAACTGTTGATAGGAATCTTTCTAAATGCAAAGATTAAGGAGAAAAGAAGAAAAAGGAGGAGCTTAAACGGTGACGAGGCTGAGAAGGCTGAGCCGCTGCCGGCCTAGGGTGGAAGGTGCCCCCACGGGACGTCAGCTCTTTCCGCTTCCTGCTCTGTTTCCTTTGCTGGAGGACCCTGTGGACCAATGGCCAGAATGGCCCCCGTGGAGCTGGCCAGGACTGCATGCTGGTGACAACGGTGCAGAAACCTCGGGAATGAGGGGCTGGTGTCTTTCTCTGCTCTGCCTCGTCATTTTTCATGCTATTCCCCACGTGGTTGCTGTACCTAGATGGCTCCTACAGGAGGCCCAGAGGGAGTTGGCAGCCCCTCCACACCGGCGTGCCTGCACTGGCCTCACGAGGCCTTCCCCCCGGCTCACTCAGCCTGTCCTCTTCCTGTGGCCCGTCCTCCTCCGTGGACCCTCAGCTGCCTCCGTTCCTCGCCCTCCTTCTTGCACAACACCGTTTCCCCAGCACGGCACCTTCAAGAGAAATCCATGGTCAAATTCCCAACCTTGCCCCGCACCCACCCTTCTGAGATCCTTGTCTACTCACTGCACCACCAAACCAGCCAGCAGAAACTCAGACACCGAACTCAGCCAGCAGAAACCGAGGCACGACCCTCCGCTCCTGCTCCTGCCATCTCCCCAGTGCCCAGTGGGTCCCAGATGTGTCCCTGGGACATCACTGTACCACCTCTGCCTTCACGGGGGTCAAACACCCCAACCACCTTCAGGCCTCCAAACCGATCCCTCTCCAAGTCCCCCCATTCTGTCAGAGCCTTCTTCCTTAATACACAGCAGTCAGGCCATCGAACTCTGAGACAAACCCTCCGTGGATGGGTCAACAGCCTCCCCGCCCTGCCCCACCCACGTGCCCTCTGCTCAACCCGGTGTCCTCACCACGGTCCCTATGTGGCCAAGCTCTCATGATTCCGTGTCCCTAAACAAGGTGGCTCTTGGCCCGGACTTTCCTGCATCCCTGACGTGGCTGTGCAGTCCCACCTGTGCCTTCCCCGTCACCCCCCCCCTTACATGGAGGTCCTCATGGACTCCCTGGGGCTCACAGGGTGATTCTGATAGTGATGGGAGGAAGCCAAATGCCTAGGCAGGCAGGGGCAGGTGCCTGATGGAAGCCTGCCTCTAAGACAAATAACAGCCTGAAGGCTGAAAGACTCAGACTGTTGGTCCCGGATAAAACCCACAACCCAGAGTGAAACTTCTGTTCCTGTCTGCCCATCCTTTCCCATTGATTCCTTCTGAATAATGCCTTTGAACCAATCAAATGTTGCCTTTTCCAATACTGCCTACAGCCTGCCCCTCCCCTATTCTGAGCCCACAAAAGCCCTGGAGTCAGACACATTGGAGGGACTTTCCCACCTTCTGGTGGGGGGAGCACCTGCATGCCCCATGTCCCCTCTCTGCAGAAAGCTCTTTCATCACTCAACAAAACTCCTCCTGCTCGCGGCTTGGTTGTAGGCACATCCTCATTCTTCCTGGATGCTGGACAAGAGCTCGGGACCCGCCAAGTACAGGTACCCAGAAAGGCTGTCACACCGGCTCTTTGCCCTCGCCAGCAGAGGGCAGCCGCCCTACATGATGGGGCCAGGGGCCAACTGAGCTGCTCACGTGCCACCCTGTGTTGGACTGTGGATGGCAGAACTAAAAGAGCTAATTAGCACACTAACACCCCCCTGGGGCTTCAGGGTCATAGGCACCTGAGTCTGGGTGCCACTGTGTTTCCCTCAAGGCGATACATCTGGTCTGGCTGTGGGCCCCGCAGGAAGCTTGCTCCTGTGTCGCTGCTTGGACAGGCTGGCTGGGTCTCATACCTGCTCACTCACATGCTCCTGCCTGCTGAGAGCGGAACACAGCGGGCTGAGTAGACAAGGCGCCCCTCTGGGAGTCTGGCAAACGGGCCAAGAGAACATTCCTGTGTCACTTTAGCACCCACCGCAGCACTCCAGGCTCCTCCACGCCAGCTGGCCTTGCCCCGGGAGGCCACAGCCACTAAGCAGAGGCCATTCGGGACACAGTGAGCCCCTGCCTCTGGGCACAGAGGAGTCACCCAAGAAAAGGCTGTGGATGAATCTACGTCAGAATTCTGCTTTTTTTGATCAATATGCTTTTCACTCTGAACTCACGGAAGCTCCATTATCCCAGCACCGCTATGTCCCAACGCGGACCTCAGAGTTAAATTTTTATTAGGAAAGAGAGGGCAAGAGCCATGCGGTGCGAATTCTGTCCCATTCCATTTGCATATTTTATTTGCTCTTTAAATGTTTTCAGTATTTCATAATAAGATGCCGTTCTGTGTGATCTTTTCCTGATGCTATCATTGTAAGGCTGCTTTCCTCCCCTCCAAAACCTCTTTTTTTTTTTTTTTTTTGAGACGGAGTTTCGCTCTTTTTACCCAGGCTGGAGTGCAATGGCGCGATCTCGGCTCACCGCAACCTCCGCCTCCTGGGTTCAGGCAATTCTCCTGCCTCAGCCTCCTGAGTAGCTGGGATTACAGGCACGTGCCACCATGCCCAGCTAATTTTTTGTATTTTTAGTAGAGACGGGGTTTCACCATGTTGACCAGGATGGTGTCGATCTCTTGACCTCGTGATCCACCCGCCTCGGCCTCCCAAAGTGCTGGGATTACAGGCGTGAGCCACCGCGCCCGGCCCTGTCGAAACCTCTTAGTGAAAAAACAACAAAACACAAGCTTCCACTCATCTTGTCTGTTTAAATGGAGCCCCGAGTCTCTGAAACGTCAAAGGGAGAGGAAGCCGGAACTCCACGTTGCAACCTTACCTGAAACATCTATCCTGCCCTGCGGGGACTCACAAGAATGAGGCCACTCACCGGGTACTGCCTTGGCTGAGAGCCGCACACTTGGAAACCGTGGAAACAGGGCCAGTTTTCATCTAAGATGTAACCGGCATCCTCTGCAAACTCTTCACAGAAAAATGGGTCTGGGGCAGATAGAAACCAGCTCACCAGGCAGAAAAGCCAGCCACGAGCCCACACAGGGCGAAAGGGGCCCGCCAGCCCCAGCCGCCCCATCTCCTCCCTGGCCTGGGTGCCTGTGCACCCTGAGCTCCAGACACTCTGTAGGGATGGGCCTCAAGTGACTTGATTTTCAGAAATAAAAGAGGTGACCTTTGGAAGAAGTCTATAAATACAAAAGTCACACCACTCCACTGGCTTCTTCTCACGAATATTCTGGAATCCCGGGTAGTGTGCAGAGACCAGGAAGCCCAAGGTCGTCCCACTCTGCTTCCTTTAGAACAGCTGCTGAGGAAGACGCCGGCTCTAGGTGGCTGGCAGGCATCCCCAGCACTCCCACGCTGGAGGTGAGCCAGAGAGAAGCGACGCAGGTGTGCCCACAGGTGAGTCACCCACCTGCCCCTCTGTAACAGGGGCCACTGTTATGGTGGAGAGAGCCCAGGTCCCGCTCAGAGATGGGAAACTTAAGGCTCACCCCCACATCCATGATGCACCAGCCATTCAACCTGGGAGAGTCAGGAACAAAACCCAACCTCAATTTTCTCCTCCGCAAAACAGCTAAACTGGAGCGGGCCCTGCCCACGTGGCTGATGTGTAGGTCTCGTGTGGAAATGCGTGTCAAAGAGCTCTGGAGGCTCCTCCACCCCCGCCCGGCAGATGATGCGTGAGTGACCCGCAGAGCACAGGTCGGGGCAGCCTCTGTCCTGGACACGTGCGTTCCATTGCCTCTCTCACCACCATGCAGTGGGCACTGCCATCGCTCCTGCCTCACCAAGAGGCGGGGCACAGAGAGGCTCAGCAACCCTCACGGGGCCACTGTGCCAGCCCGGGACAGGCCCGGGTCAAAGCCAGGCAGCCCGGCTCAGCCCCCAGGCTTCCTGCTCACTACCCTGATGACACCCACAGAGGCCCAGGAGGTTTCTGGGGAGCGCCCTCGCCCTCCCTGGATATGGCTGCCCATGGCGCTGAGTCTGCCCATGGTGCTGAGTCTCTGGCACACACTAACAGGCAACCCCTTCCCCTCGAGAAGGCCAACATGCCAGTGAGTGCTAGAGAGGCTGCCTTCAGGAGGCAGTGCGGCCAGGAACCACCCGAATAGGGTGGACGGAGACAGCAAATCCCAGATGGAGCCAGGAGCTCACGACAACCTGATCACTCACTGCGGCCAATCTGTACCCAAGAATTCTGACCAATACCACATCACCTCGGGAAAATCACTCCTCCACGCGTGAGTCCGGAGCTACCTCCAGCCGTGATCAATAGCTGCAGGTACCCAAACACTCTGAATATGCATGCCTGCCTGGCAGGGACGAAACCGGGAACCTGCTGCTGGATGGAAGGAAGGGGCAGGGAGGCTCCACCCTGGTCACCAGAACCAGCACATTCACGGGAAACGAGGCGCTCGATACACAACCCTCCAGTGCCATGGCCCCACCCATGGAAGACACTCTCACTCCACCACCAAGACTGTGCGCCAGTGGAGGGAGAGCAACGCGACCACAGGAGGACAAGCGACACCCAGCACGCGCCTCAACGCGACCACGGGAGGACAAGCGACACCCAGCACGCGCCTCAACGTCACCACGGGAGGACAATCGATGCCCAGCACGCGCCTCAACGCGACCTCGGGAGGACAATCGACACCCAGCACGCGCCTCAACGTCACCACGGGAGGAAAAGCGACACCCAGCACGCGCCTCAACGCGACCACGGGAGGACAAGCGACACCCAGCACGCGCCTCAACGTCACCACGGGAGGA